CTTAAATAGTTCTTGTATTTATTAGTTGGGTACCTTGAAGAAGGAATGTAATTTTGTGCCTCACTTAAAAAAAGTCTGTGAAAGGGACTATCTTTTGAAAGGGTCATTGTGAGAATGAAATGAGAAAATATGTTTATGAAGTAATAGAATGTAATATTATAATCTGCCTTTCACACAATAAATGCTCCATCACTGGAGACTGCTGTCATTGTGACCGAGGATATTTCACTTTTTGTGGGAGCAGTGGAAGCAGGGATGGAGGGTGAGGGTGAGTGTGCCTCACCTCTGGAGTGCAAGAGTAGTAAAGCGGAAGGAGCCTTGGCCGATGAGCCTGCAACCTTCAATTTTAGTACTGGATCTGCCAGCTATTTGGTGTTTAAGCACTAGGCAGGTCACTTTACCTCTCTGACAAAGTCCCTGCCCTCATGAAGCTTATATTCTAGCTGGGTGGGGAGAGGGATAGATAATCAAAGTAAAAAATAAAAGATAAGAAACCTATGTTGTTGAGAGATAGGAGGAGGGAGGAAGGAAGAGAGAAGGAAGCGGGGGAGAGAGGAGAGAGAAAGAAACTAAAAAATATTCCAAGCAAGAAAAAATATCAGGCTTCTAGTTGACTTGGTGTGAGTAGAGTGAGGTGAAAGCTCAGGGTTAAAAAAGGATCTCTTATCCTCTTATGTGCTACCACCAGATTTAAAAAAATAATTTTAATATGAAAACCATCAAATATGTGCCCAAAGTGCAGAGAACATACATCCATATGTACATTACCCAGATTTTGATAGTTATCAAGGTTTTCTCACATTTTTTTTGTTTCATCTATTTCCTTCCTCTCTGCTCCTCTCTCCTCTCCTGGTCCCTTCCCCTTTCTACGGGTCATGGTTTTCCTGAGAATGGTACTCTGCTTGGAAATGTCCTGTCACTTGTTTACAACTCCCCAAGGGGTACCTTAGATCTAGCCTCCTATCCTTTTTATACGCAAGTGTAGTAGAATTAACCAATATGCTAGATTCACTGAGTTTCCCAGAATCTCCAATAAATTACCAGTCCCAGTGTGTAGACCAGGCACCACTCCGTGGCAGTGTTTGGGAACTACACTCTCACCAATAGCTTAGTGTCAGGAGAAAGTAAGTTGTCGCTCTTGCCCACAGAATGCTGAAGGGCAGCTCATTCTTTCTCCTCACGTTCTTCCTTTTCCTCCTTAATGTAGCTTCTTTGAGTGAGGAGTTACTGAGTTGGCAGTTCTCTTAGGAGGCCAACCAGAGCCCCTATTCTACAATCTAGTGGCATATAATCAGAAATATCCCGATTATAATACCTTGTCATTATTAAGGTATTATAATACCTTACCCAGACCAGATTTTATCAGGGGAAATAGATCTCCCTGTCTGAATGGGATAGTTTCCCTAATCCTAAATGTTTTTCCACATCTTCCAACAACCTTAAAGAGACTGAAGTCCATTTCCCTTCTAACTACCTGGGAGGCGTCCTGCCTTTCGAATGTGACATTACCTTTCTTCTGGCTAGAATCCTTCTACACACATCCTTCATACGCCATCAGGAAAGCACAGTGGTCTCTCCACCCTCCACCCCTCTGTTCTCCTTCAGTGTGCTCTTCTGAACACTTTAGTCCACCCTCCTCCCCGCCCTTGCCTGAGCCTCTACTGTCCAGTTCAATGCAATACTGTGCTTGTTTTCTTCTTCTTCTTTTTTCCCCCACTTTCTGCTACAGAACATCCCTTCTGGGCTGTAGTTCATAACTTCTTTCAGCTTCAGGAGAGAGACGTGTTTTCTTTTCTGGCAAATTGCTGGGGTCTTATGTTTATAAGTGAATGCACACATAGTTCCTGTGCCTAACTGCAGTATTAACTGCCTAAATTTTGTTGCCGTCTGAACAAGCATGGTATTGGCATGTCATGCTGTTTCTTTGGCCTGGCTATGCATTTAACATGCATCAGTGTGCCCCCAATAATAGCTTAACAATTAGATGTTGTATAAAAGGCAGTGGGCTCTGTGAAAGTAGCGACCTCGTCCTTATGGAGTACAGAGTATATAGTAGGTGCTCCGTATATAGTAGATGCTCCATGCATAATTGTTGAACAAATGAGTGAAATCAAGATAGCAAGAACAATTGGCTGAAGGGTTTCAAGTAGTGGGAAATAAGATTTTGAATGGTGAACAGCACATACTAAACTGGAGGGTTTTGCATACTGTGTGAAGAAACTGCTGAATCCTATAAGCAACAGAGAACCATTTAATTTATATATCCTATAGAATTAATTCATATACATACAAAAAAGTACACAAATCTTAAATGTACAGCTTGATAGATTTTTACTTATGTACATACCTGTGTAATTACTGCTCAGATCCAGAAAATATTTCAAGAACCCCAGATGAGGAACTTTTATCTTGATTAATAACATTTCGATATTAAGTCCTACAGGTCACATGGTTGGTCTGTGGTGTAACTAGGACTAGAATTGTAGCAACTCAGATCTCTATACTTGAATAAAAACGCTAGTTCAGACTATCGTAACTGCATGACAAAAATAATACAATTATGGTTAACATTTACTAATCATCAGCATGCCTTGGCACTTTTTATATATTACTACTTCATTTTATCTGCTTCACAAGGTTTTGTTACTATCTCTATTTTACAGATCCTGGAGCCTAGAAAGGCACAGTGATTGCCTCAGATCCCACAGCTAGGAGTAGCAGAGTTAGAATTAAACCCAGGACTAGAGACTGATTTCTTATTGGTGATCTGTTGCTTCAAATATCTGATATCCAGGTTTAAGTAAAAAAAAAATGTAATGTCTTTGTGGTGGGAGGCGATGGTTTTATTTGTTACATGCACACGACTGTTCTTAGGTGTATTCTGACCTGTGGCTTCCCAGAATATTATGAGGCGGGGAAAGGTATTTTTGATTCTGTGGCAGTCAGGCCCCAGAGTGCTATTCCTTAGGAGGAAGAATCTTTCAATGAGGATGTCCCTTTACAACTTACACGTAGCAAGAAGATAATGGTCTTTATGGACAAATTATGAAAATAGAACACAGCATTGGTGAGATGTGGACCTAAATATCCAGAAATCCCAAACTATTAATTTGTCTTAAAAATTAATATCAGTGAAATAAATGCATGCCAGTGTTAACAATGTGGCAGAATTCTTGTGTGGGTCAAGAGCTAAGATACTGAAAGAAAATGTGAAAATTCCACAGCCACTAAAAAGAAGTACAGTTTATTATAATGGACTTCAAAGTTACATAAACCGACAATTTTCTGTACATGTTAACATCCTCATTTAGTCTCACAATGCAAAACACCCCATCACGTTTAAAGAATTCTAGCTATTATTCATGATTTGGACATCTGTAAAAATATATTTTTTATTCGTTCATTATGTTTTCAGCCAAAATGGTAGGGACACTATAGCACTTTTAGGCATAAACTAGGAATAGTCAATGAAATTCAGATTTTAGAACATGAAAGCATGGTGAGAAGTATCAGATTGCTGTGGAGAGACATGTTTCTGGAACTAATCTTAAAAGTATAAACAATGCTTTGTCCAACTTGCTTGTTGGTAAAATACTGTAGTTTCATGTTGTTTAGAGTAGTGAATACAAAGAATATTGTTGTCAGTTTTATCTACTTTTTGGAGAGGTGTGGGTGCCAAATAAGTTCAGGGTTGTTTTGATAACCTTTTATGTTTAAATGAGGATGAGATGATTGTGGAGATGGCTTCCTATTAAAAATTACTGCAGTTGGTAAATGTTTCTTTTATAGACTGTTCAATAAGTCATGCATTTAAGTGAAACCATCACAAAGGAAATAGGATTATAGATATGGAATTTTGTGATTGAGGTTATTCTTAAAATATAAATGAAATGTGGAAAGTACCCTTCAAAAATAAGTACATAAAGTCATAGTATCAGGCAGATTAGTATCCTCCATAAACCAGGAGTTTCTTTACTGTCTTGTTCACCTTTCTGGTGTTTGCATAGGTCACCATACCACAGGGGTGTCACTTAAAAATGCTGTGTCCCTAGAGCCAGCAGGTCCTGCTTCCAAGAATCCTTGCCTGAAGAAGGCTGAACACCCTTGGTGCTGGGTCCTAGCAATGAGCTGTCTTCCTACAAGTCATTTCCCCAGATTTTGTAATGAGCTGGTGGGAAAATCGGCTTTGAGGGAATCAGTTCAGAGTAAAGGAGATACTCAAAACAAAAGGAGGATGATGTCAGTGTCCTAGTTAGTGCTTTTCTATAAAGGGGGAATACATTCTCTCAGATTATTGTTGTTTTCTTTTAAAAACTTTTTACAGAAAATTGTGAAAGGTATGCTAAGATTCTTCCATTCTTACTTAGATAACTGTCCTTTCTTATGGTGATGATTTCAGAAGATAATAGGTTTGGTAACAGAGGAGAGAAACAGAATTTAAGATAAAAATCAATAAAGATATCAGTGAAAGAATAAGTTTGAGATTCCTGCAAATGAAAAAATCTTGAAATGGTATTTTCTTGCTGTAATACGTAAGATAGCTGAGAGGGGAATAAGACAAAGCGTGAGAAAAGTGGGAGATGGAATGTTTTTGTCTTGTCTCCATTTCTTTTCAACTACTTACATTCTTAGGACTGATTCTTACAATCGCCTGAAAATTTGAATAAGTTAGAATTATATTAATAACTTACTGTGTTTTTCTAATTTTTCTAGAACTTGAGATCTAGGTTCTTAACCTTATATAATTGCAGTAGATCCTTTGCAATCTTCTTGCATATTTTAGATATGAAAATTCAGAGATATCTACTATCTTTTTTCACTTGGGAGGTGCTCGGAAGAGACTTCATTTAGTGTGGAATTGACATAGTAGTATAAACTCTAATACAGTGAAAATATTTTCATTAGTTCTGGATAAGTAGAATTTGTTAAAGTTACATTGGTACATTGATAGGCAAGTAATCATAAATTTTAAAAAGGTTTTTTTTTTTTCTATTTTGCAGTCCTATTTTGTAACAGATTATGATCCAACTATTGAAGATTCTTACACAAAGCAATGTGTGATAGATGACAGAGCAGCCCGGCTAGATAGTAAGTAACTTCCTTTATTTGATAATTTGCATATCATATTTTTAAAAAGTAACCTCTGATGTTTTGCTAGGTTAAATAGTATATTTGAAATATTAGATGATCTTGAATATAAGCCCATCTCTCACAGGTTTGACAGATGAGTCTGCATATTGGACAATTTAAATATACCTCAGTAAATGAAAAGTAAAACAGTAATTGAATTGATGTTGTTCTGGTGAAACTAGTCTTGTAATTTGTTGAATTTATTGGCACAGTTGGAAAAAACATGCCGGGTCTCAACTATTCTCATCTTTGGCAAAGGCTAAAATGAGTGAAGTGAATATAAAAAGGGTTCAATATTTATTATCTTAAAATTGATAGCACAGAGGCTTTAACAGATAATGTTTTGTGTCTGCTAAACATCTCACCTCTCCACAAAAGAAAGCCCTGTTCTTCTAACTTGTATGATTTTTATTCACAGAGATCAACGACATTAGCATTTGTACTAATTATGGTGTATGTGTGTGTTGGGGAGGGGTGAGGATGTAACCCAGATTTCTTTCTTGTATTTATAGGTATCTTTTCCAGTTTTTTCCATGGAGGGAATAAAACATTGTAGGTGATTTCAGAGGTTATCTGACTCCATCTGATTACATGTGTTTGGTATTTTTAAGCTTTTAATTAGTATGCTAATATATTCTAATCACAAAGCCAGTCTGTACTGATGAAGTTAAACCCCGAAACTGTCAGCTATTAGAATATATTTGTCTTTAGTAGTCATAATAAAGTACTAAGAGAGGAATGCCATTTCCTTACTATACCAAGTATGAGGCTCTCTCTGGGGGACCCACAAGGCTTGCCTTTGTGGGGAAGCAGTTTATAAAATTAACACAAATATAGTTAAATTTTTTGCTTTTTTCTTTAGTTTTGGATACAGCAGGACAAGAAGAGTTTGGAGCCATGAGAGAACAGTATATGAGGACTGGTGAGGGTTTCCTGTTGGTCTTTTCAGTCACAGATAGAGGCAGGTTTGTATCAGTATTAAAATGTGGATCCATGATTGCTGTCTAGATTACTAGACATTATTGAATTTGGATTTTTTTAATATAAAAAGGAAAAATAATAAAGTACTAATTGGGGCATGGGACTTGGTGAATTCTGATACTTGATCAAACTGATTAATTTTTTTTTTTTTTAAGTTTTGAAGAAATTTATAAGTTTCAAAGACAGATTCTCAGAGTAAAGGATCGTGATGAGTTTCCAATGATTTTAATTGGTAATAAAGCAGATCTGGATCATCAAAGACAGGTGAGAAGGAACGTCATTGTTGGGAAACCAGTTGTTTGTAATTATGTTAGTGAACTGATAGAGTTAATGAAATAATTGAAAGTCCCATGATCAAAAAACCGGTGCTTGAATGTTTATAGCTGATTCTGGCACATTGGCTGCTAGAGAAGTCGCAACAGGTAAAAAATAAAAAGGAAGATTTGGGGAAATTAAATTTTCAAATAGTTTTACACAAAATTTTAGAAGACTTTGTAAGCCTGCAAGTATTTGTCCCATCTCCATTCACATGTAATACTTACTTGGGTAACGTCCAAAACTCTAATTTAGTTAGATAATCTTAAAGTTACCCCTAAAGGCCTAATTTATTCAGTGTTAATACTTAATTAACTTCATGTAGAGCATGGCTTTATTTAAATTACAGTATTTGGATTTTTCCAAAGTCACTTTTATGACTGAATTTTCTCATTGGCTAGCTCTAACATCAATAACCTGCAAGAAAAAAATATTATTTAGCTATAGGCTAGTTTATTTTCACTTGTTCCTTTACCCAATTAATGAAATTTTATTATTTAAAAAAATTTTTTGTATATATTGTGCACTCATCTTTGTAGGGGAGGGAAACAAAGTCAGATGTAAGTTAATGCTGGCTCTACATTATTTGGGGATTGTTTTTGTGTCTTTTTTTTTTTTGAGGTTGTTAGCCTCTACCCCACATTTGGAATTTATTGTTTAAATTGTTCCTGTTGCTGGTATTTAAGTACTCTTGTTTTTATATAACCTTGTGTTAATAGATTCTTAAGATTTTGTTGGAAAGTTGCAAACATTAGGAAAAATTGGTTGATAAAACAGCATTGACGACAACCTTCTGTTTTGTAGTTAACTGTTTAAAACAGTCTTTGATATGTGTTGTATATGTAAAATTTTGTTGGAAGCAAATCAAATTTAAAACATTGACTTAAGAGAATGATGTATTATCCTAATGCTAAGATTTGGAAATGTTTACTGGTGATACTTAAGGATAGAATAAATTTTCCTGCTAGGTTTCTTTCAAATCTGAATTATTGTAAAGTTAGGGTTAAAAGCTTGATCTTCATTTCAAATCAGTATAAACTGTTGGAAATAATTTAGAACACAGCATTGTTCACATTGTAAACCTAGCATAGAGAATCCATCAGTTTTTTAAGATTTAATTTTTTTTTAGGACATTTCCTTGGAGGTTTCTGAACCTAATTATATTTATTAAATGTTGCTCAGTAGAACCAGTCTACTGCTCTTTTCAGTCCCATCTCGTGTTAGAAACTCTCTGTTGCCACTGGATCTGGGAAGTAATGACAAAGTAGATGTCTAGTGAAGAAGAGGCTCTCCTCCCTGTCTCCTGCTATCTTCTGTCCCACCCTCATATGCTTCCTGCTCTGATTGCAAAGATAGAATCTTTCTCAGATCTTTCATGGTGGTAGCTCCAGTGAAGGAATAGGTGGGGGACCTGGGGTAGGTGGAGGTCTCCTGCAGGGTAGGCAGTGGCAGATTAGGGAGAGGAGGGGGGGTGTATGCCCACTAGGACCTGCCATGATCAGCTTGAGGCAGGGGTTATATGAGCTATTCTTAAGTTATATAGATAACTTAAGGTTATCTATATAACCTTACAGGTTGCTTACAGGTTGAGCATCCTTAATCCAAAAATATGAAATCCAAAATGCTCCACAATCTGAAACTTTTTGAAACCCAACATGACGTCACAAGTGGAAAATTTCACATCTGACCTCATGTGATGTGTCTAGTCAAAACTTTGTTTCATAAGCGGCAAACCCATGGAAAAATGAAGCATTGTAAACAAGCCATTCAAAGACTGCTGTATATTTTTCTAAGCAACAGATTGTAGGGAAGATTCTATTATATATTTATCAAAAGCATATATTTGT